ATCAATAAAATGTTCAATTTTTATAGGAAATTTAACTTTTGAATTTAAAAGCAAATAATATATTGATGAAAACCAGGAAGAACAGGTTTTCCTTTTAAAAAAGTAATTTAGATTAGAAAAGTAAGAGAGAAATCCAAAAGATCGTGTTCTGATGATTTGATATTTATATGAATTTTCGCAATAAACGGAACGCTCGCAGCAAATTTCGTATATGAAAAATTCAGGAAGAAAATGTGATAAATTTCCCATGAGCCTATCACTTGTCATTATTCATACAAATATCGATAAAAGGACGCAGACAAGCAAAATCATATTGCTTATTTCGACGGATAAATTGCATATTTTTAAACCATTGTGTATAGCTGCTCTGATATTATTAAATATTACCAAATTCCACGACTATCGATGAAAGATTATCCCGATAAATATGTCGTTTAATTACCGATCGCAAAGGATCGCGATGAAATACGCGTCACAATTTATAATATATATGCATTCAAGCATTTATATCGAAAAATTTGTCGAAGTCATTTTTCACAAATAAAGCTTTATTAACTACTTGCTATCCGTTTCGTAGATGTCAATAGAATTTGACATAATAAAACAGCCATTTTTTTTTATATCAAATCACACAACTGAGACGCAATGCAACATTGATATTCATGAGAAAAGGTACATAGCCGTTTACGGATAGGTTGTCGAAGAATTTCATTGTAAATTAACCAAGGACTCGGTTAAAATGAATGTCTATTAGATTCAATATATTTAATGATGACAATTAAATGGATACCTACATATTTGTCATCCTCTCAGATAATCGTGTAAAAAATAATCTAAAAAGTCCACGTAATATATATATATATAATGAAGTATTGCCATTTTTATGGGAATATTTTTCAACAGACTTTAATATAATATCATGACGCAAAAGCACCGAAAAACCGAACCTTACGCTTTAAACAAGGTTTAATTTCGGCAGAAAACTAACTAGGTTTAGGATAGCCATGAGAGTCGCCTGTCTCACAGAACAAATAATTTAAATATTAAAAATACATTTTTTTTGAATGACAGTTGTAGCAACGATACTGACAACCAATCGATAATTATGATTAAACAATTTTTTGACATTATTAAACAATATTAATACAAACAAAAAAAATCTCAATAAACAATTTAAAAAAAAACGGACAATAACGATCTGTTGTACGAAAGTTGTATGTGTATATATACATATTCAGTAATCGTCACTGTAATCGAATTAAAACTGCAATTAAATGTTTCGCGTTGCCTGAAATAACATGCTACAAATTACGAAGAACTAAAAAGGAAATTTTTTTTAATACGTTGCTCCAGTACGTTGACAGTAATACATCATTCAGATCGATTAAAAAGATAAGTCGGACTGTCAAAACGCACTTGTCAATGGTCTACAGATGGCATCGGACAATTTGTATCGCGGTTATATCATATATATATCAAAATAAACAACGGTAGTTAAAACGGTTACTACCAGCTTTAAAAGAAGATAATAATCATCAATATAATAAACGATATATGGGTTTGCTAACTAGTAACACATGACTTTTTTTTCTTTAATTGAAATAGGCAAAATCGCTAGAAATACATTAAAGCATAACAGTGACTATATTAATCATATTTCTCTCTGCCTATTCTTTTTTTTTTTTACCTTTCAACACATACATATCCGCACAGTCGTACATACGCGTCCGTGCATACACACTCGCACAAATTACACACACTCCCTTTTCACTCTTCCCCTT